TCCGTAAAGCAGAAAGAAAAAAATACAAACTTTTTGAAAGGGCAGGGGACAAAAAGAAAAGAAAAAAAGATAACACATGACACTAAAAAATGATTAATTTAACCTTTTTGAAGGAAGAATTCCTGGCTTATAAAGAAAAATTATAGAAACTGAAATCCCGTTTCTCAGAGGAAGAAAACATCCCCTCAACTATGTAGTGTAAACTAACATATTTCCCACTTGAATTCGCTAGAATAAATTTTAAAATTTAACACTTTTAATACTTACTTGTTCTCGTCATCAATTTGAAAAGTTTAAGATTATTGTAAAATTGGCCGATAGAGATTTATCGAGAAATGTTGGCCATATAACAGGACTTTATTCAGAACCGCCCGTTGGAATGCGGGAGTGGTGTAGTTCGACCCAGGCTGTCTCGTCATCCAGTTTTTTAAAAAGTTTAAAACGAATCCGTTTCTTTTGTACCAGTTTATTGAACTATTTAGCTCTTTGAGACCTGCAAATCCAATATTGGAATACAACCACGTGATCAGTTAAGGTTTAGATTAACAGGTACTTTGTGGGAAAATTTATGCATCTTATAAAACTGGAGAAAATAATCTCGTGTTTGGAAAACTCGAGATCACTTCAAGTGTGTCTTTTTGTCTTGGAAGATTAAAACTTTAAGGTAAGAATGTGATCTTTCCTAGGATATTCTCCGTAGCTTACTTCTCAGTAATGAATAGTCGTCGATGGTCGAACTCGATTCTAAAATTACCCCACGAAATGATCGATCCTCAACTTGTTTTTTATGTCTGCTAAATCTAAACGTGTTAACTGAGCTTTCCATATTAAGTAAGCAAGTGAAACAGTCATTTTCCTATTAGCAAAACACGCTCTCCGGGGCAAGGACTTGGTATTTTTCTTATTAGTCAGTGGCAATCAATAACGTCGATAACCTCTAGAAAAAGTCGTAATTCTCGAAGATTTTGTATTTTTATCAGTCCGCAATTGCCCTCATTTTCATCTCTTCAACTCGACCTTCAAGTCAAAACCTAAGAATCATTAAGATAAAGCTTCTGTTATCTAAACTCTCAAAACGGAACATGTCCTAACGTATAAAAATGGTTGTTATGCTAATAGCGGGTTCAAGGAATAGAAATATTTTGAAGCCCACGGTCTTCTATGAAATCGAGAACTCAGGAAGAGGAAAAGCATTGAAGTTTACGATTATATGTATTCTGGATTTTAAAAAAACCAAATTCAATAAGTTTTCTAATCAAGCATGAAATTTCTTAAACTATCACGTGTAGTTCGTATAAAAGGCCGTTACTTTGTGTGCAGGGCTGAATTTAGCGGGTTTCGCTAGGTAAACAGTGACACCAGTTGCTTTTGGGGAAAACCACAAAATGAAAAACTTTCGCTTGGTAAATTAAGAATTCAGCGAAAACAACAAGCCGTATTGTTATGCGAAAAATTTCAACAACTTGAAATTAAGAAATTGTGTTTATTTGACTCAAGTTTAGCCGAAGATTTTTTCTGTAAATCTCAATTGTATTGGTCGTAATTTGATTTTTTTTTTCTATTTTTTTTTTTTCTTTCTTTTTTTGCAAACAGAATGTTCAGTTGTCTTGGCACATGGTTGATCGAAAACCAATTTACGTACAATTATACATTTCAACTTGGCGTTGTCTAAACAAAGAATTAATACAATGAAAAACTATCTAAGTTGGTTTATCCATTACTAGACAAGCCATTAGCTCTGACGGTTATCACTTAAAACAAAGCTGATTCAACATCGTTGATGGCTTTTTAGACCATTGAGTTTTCACATTTGGGCCTGTCTTCAAACCTCACACGAAGTAACTCAAGCAATTACACCTTTTGAAAAGTCCATTCATACCTCGTTCACTCTATACTAAAAACCTATAGTTTCTACCCTAATGAGATTATTAATTTTTGCTTAGAATTTCTCTTTATATAGAGTTCTTAATCCTTTAACAATAGTCTTTAGTTTCTATGCGGTCACTATGTTAAGGTATCATTTATCATCGTTTCATTTCCTCTCTGCACTTTTGTATTTTTCATAGTCAATCTTTCTATCCCAAACACTTGCAAACTTCCTCTAATTATGGTTAAGTGAGCGTGAAGCTCAAAAGCACTTCATGTCTAGTTTTAGACTGTCGAATATTTTCAGAACCCACGTTAATTGAACTTCTTAATTGTCCGTTGTCCTTGACGACTCTAGAAAACCTTTCTCTGGTTGAAACTTATTTTCAAGAGTCCAGAGTCAAATATCACCTGAAAAACAAACAGAAAATGGAATTTAAAAAATCAAAATGAACCTGATATAATTAGAACCAGGAAAAAATATTCAGCTAAGAGGATAACATCATAATCACTCGAATGTTTTCGAGTTGGTTTTGAAATAACTAAGTAAACGTGGAAAACAACTCGTTCATTAAGTCGGCTGCGCTATTGTTTTGAAAGTCGGTGGGAGACGTGGGGCTTAATCTATTCTCGTAAATGTACTCTGCTGTCTTTGAAAACGGCTTAATGACAGAATTATTATTGATGGGGTTATATTGTTCTGATAGCACGCTCTAAAAGCAAGGCTTAGAGGGCTGTTTCTTATCTCTGTTGACCAGCTACCCTCTCATCTCTTCATTTTTTGTTCTTGCATTCTATCGATAAGACAGCTCATTCAAAAACACTAATTATCTTCATATTAACGACCTGGGATTCTGGTTGCTAGGGCCTAAAAACCCTGCTGTCCCCTCCCCCGAGGGGTCGGTGTTTTCACTGGTTTGCTTGTAAAAAAAGAAACTCATTAACTTCTGGTTGACACTGTGTAAAATATCTTGATTACCGAGCGGTGCCTAAGCGTCGACTGAACGAATATTTCTCCAACAAGTCAGGCTCTCAAAGTAATGGGTCTTAATCAAATGGCATAACCATTAGACGCTTATGAAAGCCCTTGAGCCTAAAAAGGCCACTTGAAGTAGGGCTTACAGTGCAGATATCATCTGCATTTCGGTAATAGTATTTTTGATTGTCATTTATGCCTCTGGATAACATAACGAAGTAAAACAGCAAACAGACAAGTCAACGAACGCAGCCTCCGCCAACCGTAGACCACGGCGCTAAGCTTCACCACTGAATAAGCGAACCGAATTCACACGTTGTACAAGAATCACGGTAAGTTCTCATTCTGGTCACGTTTCAACGAAATTTTCATTTAGTAATTTCGAAATTTAATCGGGATTTTGAAAGCCTTTCTTTCGCTATTTTTGATCGGGTTCATGCAACTGAATACTTTGAAACTCACAAGGTAAAATTACTTTCGAACGAGGAAGTAAAAGTAATCGAACAGAATGAAATTGGAGGAGTTTTTCATCGATTATTATCTTCTAGAAAATAAAATTACGGGTTTTTTTTTGTTGAATTGAATTGAATTGAATTGACGAGGGATTATTAAGATATTCAAACTCGAACTTGAACGCCTTTTTTCTATTCATTTACCTTCGGGTCTAAAAAGCGAACAACAGATTCAATTTCAAGTTATGGAAACAGCTAACAATAGTATTGATTATCAAGGCAATATTCGTCTCATTTGAACGACCAAAGATGTCCGAGAGAGAATCAAGATGATGTTGGATTAGCCAATCAGGTACCAGCTAGGTGCAATTAGCTTTTAGTGGTTCGACAGAGTAATTAAGTCGTTATTTACACTAGTTGATTAATGGAGCATTTATGTTAATACCATTTACTTAGCGATTTTCCTTTTTAACTTTCCTTTTTTTGATGTGTCCATTGTTTCATCAGATGGATTTTAAGGCCTTTCAAATCCTCGAACACTTTTGATCTGTTAAATATTCATTGGACGGCCTCTGGATTTGCCGTCTTAGATGTAGTAATTGGGTTGTTTCACCTCTAAGGCACGTGCCTTATGCCTTCCTTGTTGACAGTAAACATCAATTATGCTATTAATGGGGAGTGAAGCGCTTGGAAGTCGTGTTTTATCGAAGATAGATAAAAGCACCGAATCCTCGTATCTCGCGCATCAGATTGCTATAGAACTTTGAAAAGTGCCGAAAATAATGTTTTAAAATTGAATGGCGGTGAATGAAGAACGAGACAGTAGAAATGACACACAGACAGAAAGCCGACAGACAGTCAGATAGGAAGACATGCGCGCACGCACAGACACATATCTTGGGAAGACACTACGCACAGATTGATACTTGAGAAAAGTGGACGGTAAAACAAAACGGCTACTCATACGAGAAGACGTGGATAGACACACAGATGGGAGCCATGGAAACCATAAGAGACAGAAAGATTTAGGTGGAAACTAATGAGAAAGTTACTTACAGATGACGTAATTAGAAAGACAGACAATAATGAGATATCACATGGACAGACAGACAATATATGATAACTTCGAACAGTCAGAGACTTTAGTTGAGATGACATGGATAGACACTTAAACATGACGTGGACAGACAGACACTTAAACATTACGTAGACAGACAGACGCTTAAACATGACTTGGACAGACACTTTAACATGACGTGGACAGACACTTAAACATGACGTGGACAGACACTTAAACATTACGTAGACAGACAGACGCTTAAACATGACTTGGACAGACACTTTAACATGACGTGGACAGACACTTAAACATAGACGTAGACAGACAGACACTTAAACATGACGTGGACATGGTTAGACAGACACTAAGAGGACAGACAGACACTAATAGTTGGCATGGACAGACAGACAATTAGAGATAACGTGGACCGGCAAGCATTGAGAGATAGATTGGCAGACGTTTAAAGATGCGGACAGGCACCTCAGACAATTTAGACGGACGCTTATAAACGATTTTAGCTTGGGAAATAAAGCTTTTTGAATTTAAAAACAAAAGTTTTCTGCGAGATGAGGTAGTAGCGTACAACTTGGTCTCCTTCTCCACTTTGTCTCAAATTACTTTTTACTTTTCCTAATTCCTCATCACTTTCAAATTCTCTTGACTCTCCAAAACTCTCTTCATAACTTTTGACATATTCTTTAAAACTACTTTTACCACTCGCTTCGTCCGCCATTTTTCTGGCAACTGAAAATTCGACCACGCTTGTCAATGGTTACCTCTGCCCGTCTGACTCCTCTGATTAGCTTTGCCGATTCTAAAAATAACATAGCTTGTAGAAATAGGGTTTGATAGACTTAGTAGTAAAATATATTTATGTATTTGAAGGTCAACAACCATAGATCACTTTTTCATGCTTTTTTTTTCGATACAGACTCCTATTTTGGTTAGCCTATGATTAAACTAACTACGCAATCAATCAATCATTTACTCGCTATTCTTGGAATAGCATTTAGTACATACTACTATTGCCACACAGATAACATAGATAACATTAGGCAACGCATGAAATTCTATCTTAAGAACCAATTTCAGTGTTCCTATAGATTAATCCATCATAGTCACGATGGTATGTTAAAGTACTGTGAAGCCATTTCAGTGTTCTGACATTCACGGTAGGCACATTGGTATTTTAATTTACTTGACCATAAAGCCATTTCAGTGCTATGACGTCCACGGTGTAAGCACGCTGGCATGTTAATTGATTTTGTACAAACTGTCTGATATTCACGCTAAGCACGTTGATTTATTTTCACAAAGTTATAATTGTTTTGTAAAGCCATTTCAGTGTTCTGACAGTCGTACAAAGCACGAAGGTATGTTGATTTATTTTTTTAGATTATAATTATTAAGTCTATTAACAAAGTCAATTAAGTGTTCTAACATTTACACCAAGCACGTTGGAATTTATTTGTAAAAAAAAAAAAAAAAAAAAATGCATTGAGGAATTATTGAATGTTCTGAAATTTACGATACAGGCACAACACTGTAAGCACTACCGTTATTTTTTAGTATCAATCCATTTTAGTACTCTGACATTGATGCAATGCACGTTGATATGTTGATTTATTTTTACAAATTATTAATTCTATTAACAAACCCAATTAAGTGTTCTGACGTACAAAGCACTTTGGTATTCTAATTTATTTCTATAAAGCAAGCCATTTGAGTGTTTTGGTATTTGAATTCATATGCTCGATGTTATGTTGAGATTTTCTTATTTTTTTATTTTTACAAATCTTGTTATCAAAGCCATTGATGCGTTCTGACATTCACGCCATAGGCACGTTGGTATGTTGATTTATTTTACAATTTTTTGTTAACAAAGCCATTTGAGTGTTCTGACATTCGCGCCATAGGCACGATGGTATGTTGCTTTATTTTACAAATTTCTATTAACAAAGCCACTCGAGTGTTCTGAAATTCACGCTATGGCCGGGATGTGTTATTTTCGTAGAAGTTTCGATGAGTTTGCGTTCGTATGTTTAATTTCGGAAGTAACTTTCTGATATACTGTAGATATTACTTATTTATATAGAGGGGGAAAACTGAATAAGTACGTGAAAAAAGCCACTTCAACGTTTCGTCGATCCACGGTTTTGTCCTGTGTAGATTTAATTAAATCTCGGCCTCGTGGGAGTCTAGATCTATTTTTCGAATTGTTTTTTGCTTATTGGATCTTTTGTCAAGCCCATTCATGAAAACAGAAGCAGTGACCAAATAACAAATCGATGAAGCCAAACAAAATTGAAAGCAACCTGCGAACTGTTTATACTTTTTTGTTATGACAAAACACCTTGATAACTTATTGTACACCACTCTAAGTAACGACCAACCAAAATTGAACTCGTCGCGAGGGGAGCTTTAGTTTTATCACTCTCCCTCGGAAATCTATGCGGAATTATTCAGTGGTTTAAGGTTTACTGCTTCAGATTAACTCATGTGTATAGCGTCTGAAGTCTTTAACCCTAAACAAGATAAAACACACGAAAAAGTAACCCAGAGATACTGAAAATTTTTTTTTGCTTCTGGAAATAAATTTGAAATGATACAAGCGGGAAATTATTAAAGTATTGTCGTACGAGGGAAGACACCGCGTGGTGGTTTAAAGCCGGTTTTGAAGGCTTGGTAAACTAATCATTTTTATTAAATTGGCGTGTGGCGAACTGTTTTTATTCAGTTGCAAGGCTGCTTAATTAAGCTAACGAAACCCGCAAAGACATTCCTTGGAATAAATAACCTCTTGTATGGAACCCTGAGGATTCGGGGTTGTCTGTGTTAGATGTATTTTCGTTTCACCCGCTGTGCACTTTAATGGGTTTTCCATAGAACAATCCTGAGTTGGGATAACATTTCAACCAATATCGTCTTCAATTTAACAGACATTTTTACCCCTTTCAAACGTATTACTAGATACAAATTCTTTCAAGTCAGCAGCCATCTTCCGACTGATTTTTAAAGGCCCCTGGAAACGAAAATTGCCTTAGCGCTGGCGTTGTACGCATGCGTAGATTTTAGCATTTTTGAAATTAATTAAACTCGAGGTAATGAGTTCTTAGAAAAATGACCAAATATTACAATTAATTTTCTAATTAGTCAATGCATAATAAGTTCAGAAGTATTGAATGATATATGAGACTTCGGGGATATTGACTTAACTCGCCTCGCTTATATACATTGTAGCTATGAAATGTTTTGAATGATTGAGAGTTTGCCAATTGTTTGATTTAGTCAGCCCGGACAGATGTTAAAAGGCATTTTTGTCTATGGCGCTAATTGCATTTTGTATTCGTCCAATCATTACCATCGAAAAAATCCTTGAGGCAATTCAGGGTTCAATCAATTGCGATGAAACGACAAAAGATATTACTCTGGCCGTATATGTTTGTACACATAATATATATGTACAGTATGTAGATGGTCATTAAAATCAATGTTGTGCGCGCGATCGATCTCCAGCCTGGACAGTCAAAGGCCAGGGCTTTGAGCTATTGTCTAATACCTTGCCTCCCCTACTGATCTATCTCACAGCGATGGATAAATCAATAGCCCTCAGAGAAAGGAATCTTTAATAGAAGTTGCCTTTTCGTGGCGGTGCCTTGATGACAAAGCCCGCGTTCAAGGGACCACAAGCAATCATTGCCGAATGTCATGTGATTTAATTAAGAGTTTAGAGAAAGTGTCTATCGGGTGCGATTATAAGACAAGGCAGAAAAAATGATTTAACGACGAAGTGATTACATGAGAGTGGCCAATCACGAGCCGTATTTGATGAAGAGTAATTGTAACATCACTTTGGACGTTGACACTTTATTGCTCTCTGCTCATTTAAGGTTTGCAGTTGATTTGATGTGGGACTGATTAAACTATATCCCCTGTCAAATGTTTTCAGTAAAACACACTGTTGGCCCAAGTTGTTTTAGCTAATTTATACACTGTTTGGCTTCTCAGGTCTGAGCACTGACCAGCGTCGCTGATCGGGAACTAACTTTACTCTCACAAACTTCCCGTGTATATGACACAGAAAATGGATGAGCAAATCACAAATACAGGTAAGCGAGCGGCCAGTAACAACACAACTAGGTAATTTTCTGCTTCTGTTCTCGCTCAAATTCAATCTGTTTATTTCGGGTTTTTTGTCAGTGAACTCTCACTTGTGTTTCTAAGAGCTGACTTTTATGTGTCAGTAATAGCAATTTGACCGTGAAATCCATTCAAAGGTGAAACGTAAACTTGCCTACCGCTGCCTTTGATTCGAATTCTCTCTCGAGTTGGTAACAATCTTCGAACGCTTAACCACGATTTTAGGTCACACATGTTTTGGCTCAAAAGGCGAAATAACCCTTGAGTGAAACCTCGGAAATTCTCGCGTGTTGAATGAAAAAATTCTTTCTTTTATCGCGAGTTTTACATATCTTCCGTTTCTGTCTGTTTACAGGTCGAGGGCAAGCAGCAAACATGAGAATATGTGCTGGATGTGGTGATAAAATTATAGACCGATATTTACTTCTGGCTTTGGACCAATATTGGCATATGAACTGCTTGAAATGTTCGTGTTGTGAGGCCCGTTTGGGCGAAATCGGGACGTCTTGCTACGCTAAAGGAGGGATGATTCTTTGTAAGACAGACTACGTAAGGTAAGTTGAATTTCCACTGTTTATGACGAAGCCCTGACACGTAGAATGAACTATAATTAGCTGTTTACAATAATGAGTAAACCTTCGAAATTCAACCACTTTCACTCACATGTTTCACTAAACACAAAACCGTGTTTTATTAATTTTTTTTGAAATTATTCCGTCTTAAAAATTTCATAAGACAATTTATTTGTTTAGCTATACCGATATCTTTCGCATTTTTCTTTTGAAATTCATTTTCATTCAATCTCGCGCGCAGTAAAATTAACGCTCAAATGTCAACACAAGGTCTTTGCAGGATCCACATGTCGCTTTGCAGTCAATATATTAGCGCAAGAACTTTTAATATCATTTGAAGGTCAATCAAAAGAAGCGTCCTAACGTCCTAAGCCTTTTTATTATCGGAAGAACAACGCCAAGAAATTAAATTAAAGAGGAAAAATCCTAAGAGGGAAAAACAAGAGTAAAAAGTGGGAATAAGTTGAAAATGGAAAGACGAGTCCTCTATAATAAATAAGGTTATTTTTTGGCGTCCCGCGTAAAAACAAAATTTTTTTCTCGGAAGAATTTTTCATTTTGGAAGAACTTGAATAAGACAGCGAACGTAAATTGGATTCCGAGTTTAAATTGGTCGGTCGATTGCCGTTTACTTTTTTTGCCTTTTAATCAGCATAGTTTTAATATCTGGCCTCGTTGAGTTTGTGCTGTTTAACATCGCTAGTGAATTGAACCTGACACTTTGAGTGATTGTGTGAAAAACAATTTAAAGCTAGTTCAAATATTAGCTTTTTGTGCTTTTATCTTTAATTACTTAGAAAATATTAAAGCTAGGGTTATCGGATAGGCTTTGATGGATCAAATTTCACTTTTAATAACATGAATTTTTATTTCTTTTTTCTTTTTTTGCTTTGGTTTTAGATTGTATGGCACTAGTGGAGCATGCGCAGTGTGTGCTAAGCTTATACCAGCCACAGAACTAGTGATGAAGGTCCTAGGAAAAGTATATCATCTGCATTGTTTTACGTGTACAACATGTCACAACCAGCTCGTGTCGGGCGATAGATTTCATGTTGTCAATGGAAGACTCTTCTGCGAAAACGACGACCCGAATCTCCTTAAACAACTGCACGCGGCCAAGCAAACGGTACGTCATTGCTCTTCAACTCTCTATCAATTGTCAAAGCCCCCATTTCATAATTCACGAAAAACATCAAGCTTATTTGGATTTAATATCAAGCGCCTTCGGCCTAAACCAATATCTAACCATCAACTATGACAGCGTTTTTTGTTCGTGTTTTGAGGGTTGAGATGGGTGCTTTGTCTTGGGAGCTGGACCAGTTGGTCTCATATTGTGGCCGTAGGCTTTCAAAAAACAACCACAGTAAACAAAAAATACAATTAATAACTTTTCATCGTTACAATGTAATTTCCTTGAACAGTGGTTATATTCTATCGATACCTGTCCGCCAAGAAGATATGAAAAAGAAAAGTTCTACCCCAAGCGGGTGGCAGAAAATCGAACTGAAAAACAAATTGTTACTTGATTTAAAACGACTTATTGCGAAGTCAAATTAATGAAGTCCACAATTTTGCTGCCAATCTAATCCATTTTTAACCAAATTGACCCAAGCATTAATGAATTTGGGAGATTTATTATGAGATATCGTGTGCGGTTTTTCTTAATTACGGACCACTTCCAGCTAATATATATAGTCCGCGAGCGCTCATGTGTCACTCAACGCAGAGGAAGTAATTTAGGAGAAATCTCGATTCCACTTCTCCAAAAAGCTAAGGAGCTATTCGTTCGAGGCCTGGCAATACATTAAGAGCAATAAGACAAGATTATTCGCTGCATAAACAGAAGATATTAAGTAAAGTTGACAGCCAATTTTGGCATTCAATAGTAAAGTTTACTCAAGGAACGGATCATTGCGGAAGACATTCGTAGCAATAATACATCATTAACACTCTCGTCCGTGTTCCGCTTGATTGAAGTTTACTTTAAGCCCGACAATGGAGCTTTTTTTTCTCTTTGTGTCATTTCTTGATCCACTTTTAGTTATTTTTTATCCTGCTCTCGCAAACTACAGTTGATGAAATGAACGGGTTATTATTTTGTAAGTCCAAATCACATTCAATTCCATTAACGACGAATAACTATTTTCGGAAAAATTAAAGGGTCCACTAATGAACAGTTTTAATTTACCATTTTTTATATTGTATGATTCGATAAATCTTGCTTTTTGGGGGGTTAATTGATGTGTCTCGACAGAATTAGTTTTTTATTAATATATTTCTTAATTATACTTCATCCTCAGTTTTAAGCCCGAGGTTTTTATACTCGGTCTTTATATCAGATTTTATTCTCGATCACGAATTTCTTGAAGAAAAATTACTAGTCATTATTATTTCCGGTTTTTCTTACTACTTTATCAATGAACGTAGTATCAGTAAACCTTATGTGGCCAGGCTATCGGCCTGGCGAACCGAAACAAAATATTTCTAGAGCGCAAACTATCTTACTAACCAATAACTTAGACTGATAGACATATCTAAGCTTTTTACCTATCTACCCACCTACCTACCTACCTACCCACCTACCTACCCACCTACCTCCCTACCTACCTACCTACCTAGCTCCCTAGCTCCCTCCCTACCTACTTACCTCCCTACCCATCTATCTACCTACCTACCCACCTACCTACCTACCTACCTCCATTCCTCCCTACCTCCTTACTTCCCTACCTCCCTCCCTACCACCTTACCCACCCACCTACCCATCTATCTACCTTACCTTCCTTACCTACCTACCTACCTACCACCTACCTTACTACCTATTACTTTACCTGCGTATCACCTTTATACTTCCTCTTCTACTTATCCATTTACCTACCCTACCAACCCATCTATCATCCTACCCATCTACCTACCTACCAACCTACTTACCTATATACCCATCTACCTGCCTATATATAGCTACCTACCTATCTTTCTTCACTCACACACCCATCCCACCCCACTGCCTACCTCCTACTTACAAGTTCGTAAACCCCTTTTATCACCCACCCATCCTAAAGTTATCAAGATTCCATCTAATAACAAGCACACATGCAAAACTTGACAACTCCCTCGTACATTTCTCCTAGATCTAGTGTATTCTGATATAGATTTCACTGCAAGGAATTTTAATGGTGGAGACACGACTCAACGTAACGGAACATAAATTTGTTAATCTCAGAGGCTTTTCGTGTATAGTTTTGGTGCCTTGGAAATCTGAAATAGACTTTCGACTTTCCTGCGTGCAGAGATACCGAAGAAAAATACACTCTTCTAGCAGGAAAAATGTTAATTTGGCCGTAATTTATTTTCAGAACTTTAGAAATTTTTCTTCATGAAACATTGATCTTTTTACTTCAAGCTGAATACACAAATCCTTGCACTAACGCCAAACCATTCTCGACGATCTTAACGAACCCTTCGCAGAAAATAATAATTACTTTACAATACTCAGGCAATCGTTCTCACTTTTCGTTTTGTAATTTTACCGACCGTTGCCCTGACCGTTGGTCAATAATTTTGGTATTTTAATTAATGGCAATTTTCGTGAAAATATTTCTTTTCAAATTACTATAACGTTAAAACCTTTATTCGCGGGCTTTTACTTCCTTTCTAACGGCTAAAAATCCATTTCATTTGGGGCCTAAATGGATTTGCTCGCTTTATGGAAACAGCTATATAAAGATTTTAAGTGGGGCTTATTTTTGAAAGCGTTGCCAAATCCCTTTTAGCGGGGATATAATTCGTATTTACCATGTTGTTTGACGAATTTAAGTGTTTCAGTTACCATTAGGCATTCTTTGATCTTAGTGCTAATGTTCTCTCGTTGTTCCCTTTTAGGTTTGCTGATAAAAGGAGTTCTAGACAGATTTATTCTTAAAGCAAACGAAGGCCGTTCTATTCCCCACGTCAGCACAGAACGGAGGTGTTCTAGATTCTAGTGGATTCGTTTCTACTCCTTCTAGTCACAACTTAAATCTTTCATGTCAAGTCCGCTTCAAACACTGACGCCTTTAGCATGCGTTAGAATCACAGAACACATGCTATATTTTTAAATTCATAGCAGAAATATTTCAAAGAAACAAAACAAAATCCAGATTAAATATATAATGTGTTAAGTGCTTAATGCCGAGAGAATGGAACAGCGCTGTGTCTGGTTGTGAGATGCTATGAAAAGATTAATGCGATATACTGTTTGGTCATAATGCTTCATAAAAGATGGTATAGCTGTTGTGGACAGAGATAGATTGATTGATTGATAAAACTTGGACTATTGATGGCTTGAAATGTGGCCGTGAGTGGTCAGTAGTAAGTCAGCTCTCAAACGCTTTACACATATGGCTAAATCAATGCTAATCCTATCAACCACCATCTTCGTGTGGAGAATCACTAATTATTATTTAAAAACGAGCCTTGAATCGAGGACACACGAATAATATTCCAGTTCAAATCTCCTCTTTTTAACGTTCAAAAATTCCTCCAAAATTTACCTCGAAGCAAAGACTCACGATTAGCTTATGGTTGATATTGAAAAAAAAAGTTGAATAATGGTGCAATATCACTTGAATTTGATTTACGATCACGTAAATTGACTTGCTCATCCAGAAATGCCCCCCTAAAACCCCTAAATCGTTTAGTATTGTTCAACAAGGAAGTTATAAAATCATATCACAGACGTACCAACCGCTCTAATGGGTTGCAAAAGAACCATTAGTGAGTCATAAAATAATTGTAAGAGCTATTTTCTTGAGTGTTCTCTACACTGCTTTCTCTCGGTCTCTAGACGCTAAGCGCTTAAAAGGTTTAATTAGATTTTCTATGCACCACAGAAAAGACATAAATCCGTTTTGGTCTTAGTTTTGTCATTCTTAAAAGTCCTAATTAACTTGGATCAGCTCGTTGACAGCTTTTGACCATTTGGATCCATTAGTAAGATAAGTAAATAGGTAAAAACCAGTTCTAATCAAGCATGAAGACTTAACTCTAGTTTTAGAGTTCGGCTATGTAGTCAACAAAGAATAAATAGATTGATAGAAATATTTCTTGTATATAAAAATCAATGAATAAATTCAAAGTAAATGTACAGTCAGTTATAAAAGTAAAAAATTGTACGAATTTTGCTTTGTTATTCTTGCTGTGGTAGTCTTAATGATAAATGTTGTTTGGTTTCCTTTGAACCAAAACAAAACAAAAACTCCTCGTATAACTGTTTTCTGAAGTAAAAGTAATTAGAATTATGTACGAGGGTGACTGCAAATTGACGATAAAAAAAGTTTGTCGCGAACGGTTTTCGACAAAGAATATACCGATTTCAAATTGTTTATTCAGTTGCAAAATGTCTTTAAGCAGAAAAAAAGACCACTTTGAAAATGATATCTATAGCACTGATTAGAATACTAATGTTAACGGAATCAAAACGATTTTGAAGTGTGAATTTTGAACTCCAAAACTCCAGTAACAAATCAGTTCTCGGCCTTCTCTGAATTTTATTCCAAAGCCCCGAGCAGAAAAAGCTACATTCACTCTATGTGCTACCCAGAGGCTTAATACTATGAATCTTTGAAATTCTCTCTAGGGAGCTGTACCGTTGGCATCTTTGCAAGAACATTTCCGGTACAAAAGTGCGAATAGTTTATCTTAATAATTACGAAAACGTTTGGCTCTGAATATAATTCCATAAGTTAGAAGAAAAGAGCATAAAAGAAGAAAGAACGTAAAAAGAATTGAAGAATTGTCGTAGGCGAGTTGTAGGCTTGATTTACACGCTACGACTCGAGTCGTAGGATGGCGCGAGCGTGTTGTATACGATAGTTGTAGGCGAAAATCGTACCGTCTAAACCGGCCTTTAGTCATCAAGAGAATCATTCTCAACCCGCCTTGATGTGTTTTCCCAGATTTTTTGGCAACGATTTCAATCAGGTTTTAATTGCTTCTTGGACCCTCACTGGGGCAAGTGTACTGGAATGACCTACTGCTGTTCTTTTATCGATATTAACTATCTAATTACCTCATTCAAACTACGATTTAAACATTATTACTCCAAAGCAATTAGAATGCCAACCAGTTTGTTTACATCTAGGGAAACCACGAACTTGAACAATCGTTCGAAAAAAATCATTAAAATGAATCTCAGTTGAAAACACCAGCCGTGAAGGCGAGAGGTAATAGCCACTAAATGGAGAAAACAAAATAATTTTATCGAAACAATCTCTGAAATAATCAAAGTCAAAATCAAATTGGAATTTCAACATTAGGTAGTAAAAAATTTGAAAATTGGTGCATTAGAAAGATTTTTTTCTCTCCATCAAGGAACGAGTTCGTTTTTGGACCTCTGTTCTTTATAGTTTTTCTAGATTCTTTAGCCGACAATTCATCATTTCTTCTATAAACAGCATAGCATAGTTGAATTTTGAACGACCAAAAAGTATGCAATAATGCTATTTTTGGTTCGTTTCTAATGTCCTATGAGAAGCCAAAAAATATGCATGTTTGAAACGGAAGGAATAGCGACTTTAGTTTTAAATTGATATGTGTTATTCGACTTTAGCTTTAACAATATAATATTACTAGTCTTACTGACTTCATTCATCGGGAAAAGCCATATATAGTTAGGAAGCCAATTAGGTGTTGTTGAAAGAATGCTGAAGTAAGCAGTTCTGGACACTAAGCATTTCATCAAGGATAATGGTAAAATATTAGTTTTATTACTTTTGAAATCGAAAACCGCGGGAAAAGAAGAAAGAAGAGCAGAAGGGAGGAAAAGGAAAAGAAAAAGGAAAAGGAGAAGGAGAAGGAGAAGGAGAAGGAGAAGAACAAGAAGAACAAGAACAAGAACAAGAAGAAGGAAAAGAAGAAGGGGAAGGACAAGGAACAAAGTCAAAACAAAGAAAAACAAGAGGTGAAAAAGATTGGGATAGAAAATGGAAAGACAGAAAGAAAAAATAAAGAAAGGATTAAATCGATGCTGATTGACAACCTTTCATGTGTTTGTTTTCCATATATTCTGCTTTAACGATTTCCCATGATATTTTCATGTTTACTTGAGCCGGATTACAGTCACATTAGAAACGTCCTCCAAGACCCACTTATTCAGTATTCCCTATAAGTGTTTTTCAATTTTACCATTTATTTTGATAACTTAATATCTTAATGTCATCAAAATTTAATATCTCTCTCTTTGAAGTTCTCATATTAATGTGATCCTATTGCCTTTAATCGTTGATTCACAAATAGTTCCTGATTAATTCACTTAAATTCTAATTCGATATTATTACCAACTCGATGGTCCTCGCGAAACAGCACTGAGTTTTGATTATACTCATTCTTCATTTTTTTCAAAAATCTGTGAAATCTTTATAATTTTATTCGTACTAAAACTGAAACAACAGCAATTAACAATGTAAAAATAAAATATAAGTCGCCTTATTAATCTTTTAATCGTTCTTATCTTAAAAGAAAAAACAATCCATTAAAATCCATTTATTGATTTTTTTTGCTCTTGGTGAAAATTGAAAGCCCAATCTTATTTAGTCGATAAAGCTAGAGCGAATATTTTAAGAAATAGTGGAATTTTTTTTTCGATTGGTAGAAAATTTAAACGATCGATTACACGCATATATATCAATCGTTCAGAAGCTGATTTTTTGTTTTGTTTTGTTTTGTTTGTTTGTTTTTTGTTTTTCTCGGTTCTTCGTGCTTTTCTTTTCTTTCTATCATTTTTGCTACTTTTTTCTTTCTTCCTTTCTCTTCTTCCTTTCTTCCTTTCTTTCTCTCTCTCTCTCTCTATCTCTCTCTCTCTCTCACTTTCTTTCCAATCAGGTCATGTATCAAAGAGAATCATACATATTATATGATATCACAGTTTCAATTCACTTTGCCAGTAATACTAGTACGTATTGTATTCATTCAAACTGGTCCTTCAGCTGAATTCACAACCGTCTCAGCTGATACCACGAATCTGAATAAAAATCCCGAAGGAGCAAACAACAGAACAAGATGTCATTCAGGTTCACAAGTAAACTCTACGAAACAGTTGCAACAACTTTAGCATTAAAGTTAACTTGAAGCTAAACAAAACAACATTGAATTTGGTTTTAACGGTACGTGTTTATTTAGAAGGGGCTTGCGAAATTTGACTTTTCAGCTAAAAAAATAAATGCATTTTAGAAAACTACGATAAAACTCTTTCTCTTAAATTTTTTTCTTTCGAAACAACACTTCACTCAGCTTCTAGGAATTATGTTTTTCTGTTAAGCTAAAAAGCCATTTTTGTTTTTTTGATGGATAATTCCGAGAACAGACAGAAACTACAAAGAAAGTAAAGACTTAAAATAAAAAGTACAAAAAATAATCAAAAAAACCCTCTGGCAATTAAAATAAAAATGGTATCATCTTAAATCTTAGAATAAAATATACAAAAGTTAAAATTTATTGTGCATAAAATAACATCTTTTTTTAGCCATTCTCAATTCAGTCACTATTTTTTTCGATACCCAAGGAAAAAATCTTTTAGTTCCAAAAAATTAAAAAAACTGCAATTCAGAATGATACTATACTATCTTATGACCATTGCGAATTCAATGACAATTGAAAATCAGTATCAAAAGACATTCACGCTTTGCTAATAACAGCCATTAGTCTAGTCTACAGACGAGTAGTGGTAATCAGAAAAAATGTGACAGCTTTTAAAATAATACATTTTTTTGGTTTTCGGCGAAAATCAAATACACGGAATTAAATGTACTTTGAAAATTGGATGCTTGCTATAAAAAAAAGATAATCAATCAAGAATTTAAAGTTTAACATGCTAGTAAGGTCGATAGTATAGCAGTCTTAAAGGAATGATTTCAGAGTGTTAAGAAACTTCAGTTTTTTTTAAAGTTGTCAGTCTTTCAAAGTTAAAAACGCAGAAGGTAGGGGGTAAATGGTTGACCTATTTGCTTCAATAGCACTTATCTGGACCATTAGAAAGTCCACTTCACAAGCTTTTTAGAAAGATTTTAAGTTTTTATCTGGCGAGCCATTTCAGTGAGCTTTCAGAGCAATGTGTAATCCATTTGAGACTGTGTGGTTATCTAACGTTATTATTACAGAACTATCGAGATAATGCGGAAATGTTTCAAGAAAAACAAAAACACTTAGGAACTGGAGTTCACTTTGAAAGGGAAATAGAATTTCATTAAGCGTTTGGGATAGCCTAAGGGGTCGGTAAAAGGATCGAGCTAAAAATGACATCACTTACGTGATGGTTGTCACTCTTGTAGTATTTGTTACTAGTATTGTGTGACTCTCTTTTTGCAAAAAACTTAGAACGAAATACGTGATACGGGATATTTCAGTCTAAATCTATCGGTTACGGGATATTTGAGCTAAAAATTGAGGGATACAGAATGCCGGGTTAGCGAAAGGAATTATAGGGATGCTGAAAATGAAGATACGGGATTTTTGAGGGAAAATATCGGGATACTGGATGTCCAGCCTCCCTCTTCTTCCACTCCCTAATACAGCCTTAAAATAAAAAACTTATAAGCGACAAAAAAAGGGAAGGTGAATCAAACTAAGACTCGTTCCAAATGTTAAAGATTATATTTTCTCGGACGACAGGTCGATATGGGTTCTTAACTACGGCGCATGCGCAATGAGCCTCATAAATCACTAACCACGCATAAGATCAATAATCCACTTAACTTACTCATAACAGTTTTATATTTCTTATTAAGAATGTCACAATCTATGACTAATTCTATGGGAATATTTTACTGACATGACCAGACCTGGCAATCATAGAGTTATTGACTCTCTCAAGGTCTCAAGCCACACACATAGCGACTGTCGTCCAGCGCGCGACTTGCTAAAAAAAAACCTAAGTAACCGAGAGAAAAAAGAGGAAAAAATATTTTGAAAAAGTTTTAAAATCAAATTATTTTACTTAATGTTTGTCACTTGAAATTGGAATAGAGATTAAATGTCGAGTCGAAGGATCATGGAAGCTTGGTTCCGAAGAGTTTGTCGTCTGTATTTTGTTGACATTTGGTTCGAGGAGACGCCATGCTTCTTAGTTTAATGGCTATTATCCTGTAGACTAACGCATTTTAGCGCTAGATAAAATGTGTCCATTTAGACAATGACTTTACATTTGACTGTCGGGGCTTTATGCTCTTGAGAAATGGTTAAAAATTGTTAAAAAGTTGAAAATTAAATCCGCAATTTCTCAGAATATGAACTTAGGAAGTTTTTGAAGCAGATGAAAGGAACTTGCGAGTTACAAAATTGGCGTCATGTTTCGATCATCCTCTAAAAATCCAATCTATAGATAGTTAGCTAGTCAAATTTATTGCTGTGTAGAGTAACCGGTGCCAAAGCTTTCACAACTAAATTGCCCTTCAAGGGTTTTGGCTTCGGCATCTTTGATTAACAGGCTTTTAACGTTCATGTTAAAAAGATATATTAATGAAAGTGCTTGTTAGATCATTTTTCTTAAAGTGTCTTACCCCTGGCTCGATGCAGCCCGACTGAGCCGCATTAAAAGGTTCACACACACAATAAACTCCTTAATGATAGTCTTTGTGATGTAAGAGTTAAACGATAAATGTTCACTCAGCTAATGCACCATCTATCAGCATTTTCAATTACCAGATAAAACCCACTTACTAAAATGGATTGATTGCGATGAAAAATTGTGTCAATAGCCTTATATTATTAACAGTTCTAGAACAACTGTAGATGAAAATTTATTACCCCTCAACATTTGATGGCAATAAATTGGACAGAAAATATATATCTGTTGAATTTAGGGGTCTTTTTAGAGGGCTCGCATGCCAAAAAACGTACTAATAAGACAAAACAAAGCGTTTGATGGCAGTAAGAGAAATCTCATTTGTGCGATATAGAGATATAATATGTGAAAGGAAAAACAGGTCATTCGGTTAATGGTGCATTAAGCTAAAAGTATATCAACAGTTGTTTTGAGTTGAAATAGCACTTAACTCTCGTTGTGACAGCCATCATGCTAGAATCATCCCGAGCGGGGGAGGGCACGATCTATTTTTGTCACTAGCTCAGTGAAAAATACGCCCTCTAAAAAAACTTTAATTAGGGAGGAATAATCACCCAACTTTAATTTAGAAATTTCTTTATGTTTCTTTTTCAATGGTTTTCACGTGTTTTTGTTTTTGTTTTTTTTTTCAAAGTAAAAAGTGTCTGCGAAAGTTTATTGAAATGGGTGAAAATTTGTTGGATATTTGTCTCTAAAACTTCTTCAAACATACTCGGTAAACGATTTCTGTGAAATATCTATTTAATTCCCTCTAACTCTCTTACTCTCTGCAACGAGAAAAAAATATTCGTCTATTCGAGTACATAACTGACAATAGGCAAGAAAAAAGAAAAGTCATATTTGTATGAGTGTACATATATAATTCTTTATTCTTTTCGTTTTTTTTTTTTTTTCTATATATATATATTCTTTGAACGAACCCAATAATAACCTTTGAGTTTTTGGCCAAAACGTTGTTGATTTATTTATATTTTTAGCCCTTTCAGCTTATACAATAAGCCATCTAATTTTCTTCGGTTAAAGGCAAAAAAGGGTTGGTATCGTCTTTCAAAACCCATCATTTCATGAGTAATTGCAAACCAAGAGATTACAGGATTTCAAAACCTTTGAAAACCCTTTTACGTAAGCTTTACTCACAAAATAAGCAAGTTATATCGAATTACTCAGCTTAAAAGGCTTTTTCTTTCTCGTAAAATTACAGATAAATAGCTTTGAAGAGATGTATTATGATTTATTTGCGAACTCTATGCCTGGGCTTCCTGTGGAATAATCTCGGCACAGGAAGCCCGTGACGTGATTTACAGTAAGGCGGTATTTGTCACAGTGCGCAGTGGTTTTAATGTCTTCGAACATAATCATTCCAAAAAAGATTTGAAATTTCCCATGGTCGTCTGCATCGTATGGCTAATGCATTATGGGATATTCTGGTGTGCACGCATGCATGACGTCATTGTGACGTCATTGACGCTTTGGTATACTAGACTTGATCGAACTAGACTAATATCGAATTTAGATCGAATTTTTTCGTTGCAAAAACTTAGGCATATACACGTCTATATAACTGAAATTAAAAGGCCACTGGTCGAATAAAATTACGTGGCTGGGATCCCTGTGTATAGATGTTGATAAAAAAGTGCCGATGTGGAATTCCAATAATATTACATATTATTTCTAGTTTACAAAAACTTACAGATCAAACGTCTCTCATTGGTTATTGTATGACACATGTTCCTTTCTTGTTAACGTCAGGCTTACTCCTTGATCTCCTAAGGGTTTTCAGTGAGGTAGCCTGGTACAAGATTATGTAGGAATATTGTAAACATAGTTCATAAACTATGGTTTAAATTTGGGTAGGTTTGGATGGTGTGTGGGTTTGATCCTTTTCCCGCTACTGATCACGTGGGTAGACTAAGTTGTTTTTGTTGTGCACGGATGCTGGGGTCATAGGTTTTATCCCTTTCCCCGCTACTGATCACGTGAGTAGACTGAGTTGTTTTTGGTGTGCACGGATGCTGGGGTCATAGGTTTGATCCCTTTACCCGCAACTGATCACGTGGGTCGACTGAGTTGTTTTTGGTGTGCATGGATGCTGGGGCCATGGGTTGGATCCCTTGACCCGCCACTGATCACATGTGAGTAGACTGAGTTGGTTTTTGGTGTGCACGGATGCTGGGTCCATGGGTTTGACCCCTTGACCCGTCACTGATCACATGTGAGTAGACTGAGTTATTTTTGGTGTGCACAGATGGTGCGTTCAGGACTTTGATCCCTGGACACGACATCAACAAGTAGAATCAACTACTTCGACGATACGGCGGCCATCTTGCCAGGGGGCAAAACATAACAAAGATGACAGAAAATATATAAAGTTTCGTGTGTTTGTCTTTCTCTTATGGGTAAAGGTGACCGATTTGTCTTAATTCATCTTGTGTTGTATTCTATAGTGGTGACCTGTTAATATCAATCGACGTCATTACTATAGCAAAGCTTTATTCACCCCCTGGACGCCCCCTAACGCCTTGGGATCCAAGATGGCCGCCTTATCGTTAAAGTAGTTCATTGCTTGCTGGTTTCAATTCTACACTGGTTCGAGGGTGTTTCTCCCCACGAGTTTCAGCTAAACTTTTCTTTCTCTTATGAACAGAGTTTAAATCGATTTTGATATCAAGTTTCTGTCGTACTTCCTAAACTTATTTGAATCTATGCCCTTACCTTTGTAAGATTAGGTAACGAGGTCGCAGTTGTAAGACGCTGTATTCTCTGCTTTCTTATTTTCGCTTTCATATTTTTACGGGTTTTCTAATGCAGATAAATAGTATTGTAATTAGAATCACGCACACACAGTTCAACTCTTGTAGCTATCCCGACACAAAGTAGGGTTTAGTCAGTGCGCACGAGTGTGGTGTTATTGTACACATAGTTCAACTCTTGTAGCTATCCCGACACAAAGCATGGCTCACAGTGCGCGCGGGTTTATTATTTTTCAGCATACCTTATCAGTTGACTTAAGCAACAGCTTTACGATATCTTTGTGACGGCAGCGATAGGCGATTTCCACGGCCGACTCACCATCCTTAATGAACGCAAAATGATAACTATTGTCATGATTACGATACCCAGAGCTCTAATTCTAGTTATAATTAAGGACGTTCGGGTTTCTAAATCTTACTAGTTTTAAGAGAATTTTCAAGAGAGCAAATAACAAGATTGTGGCCGCCATGTTGGGAGACAACGAAAGGAACCATACAAAGATCATTTGTCAAATTTGAAATTTGAAATTTGTCAATCCAACATGGCGTTTGTGACGTCACATGAAAACGAGCAATGATACCTTATTTAGAATCGAATCTTCGGCACCAAATTGCAGCAATACCTCTACCACCTTGGTTTTGCCTCGCAGGGAGGCGTATTGCAGTGGAGTTCTACCCTCCTTGAGACAGAAAATACAAGATAATAGGCCATTTTAGCTTGGGCATAATTTTACCCATTTCAGACCAAAACGTGTCATTCTTTGTATACATATTCATGTGTCTTCTCATGCTTAACCGTTAAACAAAGAAATGCTACTCTAGGGAATAACACGTGGTCCGAAATGAGACAAAATTATGCCCAAGCTAAAAAGATGAAAATCTAGTTAAAAAGCACTGAGGTCATGGAACGATCTCCCAGTAGACAGAAACAAGCGGGACACCGATTTTTGCATCATAGTGATCATGATGATGATGATGGACGAAAATGACGCCAATAATAATACAAGGGGTGGCTTGGAATCATTCGCAAAAGGTCTGGCAAGTTACTGACTTTGCGCAAGTCTACACTAACGAGCAAATCAAGTTTACTTTTTCTGAATTGCTGGGTTTCAATCTGCTGATGAAAGTCTTTGAGTCTTAACATCTGCTCCAAATGGTGATGAAACAATGACCAACATGTGCTGTCAATCAGAAAGAATTCTATCGGAAAACTTGCGATTCTGCTGATGAACATATCTGCAGAAGTTAGTAATAATTACCTCATCGACGCAGTTCATTTCAGCCTCGTTGGAGAGAAGAGCATTGATAACTTGGTGTTTCCCGCTCCATGCTGCTTCATGAAGGGCCGACTTGCCGTACTGAAAGAAATGTACAAATTGTTGTTTTGTTTTAACGATTGCCTTAAACACGACAAGGTAATATAGGCTCTTCAACAATAAAGGCACGATTACACGGAGAAAATTTTCTCTGCAACTTGTCTCGCAACAGCGTTGCGACACAAGTTTAAAGAGTGTTTACACGGTGCAATGGAGACAGTGTTATAACACAAGTTGCATGGAGCATTGCAGCGGGTATCCTACAGCGTAATTTTAAGAAAATGTTGCGAGAAAAGTTGCTGCAATTGTTGCAAAAGCTAGAATTCGTTTCTACTTTTGGCAACGATTGCGTCTTCCGCTTTGCACCGAATAAAACACTCTGGCAACTTGTGTTGCAACGCTGTTGCCAGACATGTTGCAGAGAAAATCGCAGAAAAGCGCAGTGGTAGTTAAAGTTTCCCTTTTTTAAGTTTCCCTTACCTTGTCTTGAATATTCATGTTCGCCCCGTGATCGATGAGGACATGGATCACTTCAAGATGACCTTCTCTACTGGCGACCATTAATGCCGTGTGACCAAACTAATGATAAAAAGGTAGCGTTAAATAGACATTTGATAGAGTGTTTTGTAATCACTTCCAAGAAAGTGAAGTATAAAAGACACGGTCGCCAAGTTGGTTAAAATATCAAAAGAAACCAAGACCAAATCTTTTGTTCAAGTCAACCAACATGGTGGCTATGACGTCACATACACAAGGACAAAAGACACGGCCACCATGTTGGTTGACATGATAAGGATCACCAAGGCCAAATCATTTGTTCAAGTCATCCAACATGGCGGCTATGACGTCACACGCACATGGACAAAAGACAGGGCGGCCATTTTGGTTGATATAACACTACCTCATTTTTGTAGTCAACGTCGACGTCTTCTTCGAGCAAGTTTCGTACTTCTTCTTCGGCGCCCATTTTCGCGGCAATGAGGAACTCCTTGGACTTTTTGAGCTGAAACGAAAAGGAAGGAACAGAAATCGCACCTTGAGTTCACTTATACGACGTCGCAGAAAATGGATCGTAGAAACGGGAAATGCTTTCGCGACAACCACCTGGTCACAAGCTCATGATGAAAGACCCCTTTACACTAAATCCCTATCTGTCGGAATACAACAATCTAAAATATTCACATCAACTGAAAAGAAATATTTCAATCCTCAATGAATTTCTTCTATTTTGACGCCAGATTGGGAATTAGTATTAGAAGTACAGTCTTATACGTATTAATTTCAAAAGAATAATACCAGTATCTCCCATTGTTTCTCTTCGGCTGACCGGATACTTTCTTGTAACTCCTCTCTGCTTAGTAATGCCTCTTTCTAAAAGAATAATAAAAATACGTTACTATGACAATGATACGTTACTATGACAAAAATGACCTTTAGAGCGTGGAAACGAGTATGGTGACGACATTGCGGGGTGGGGTGGGGTTAATATGAATGCTCTTTATTACCACCATCCATTTAACCCTCCACGTGGATTCACAAGTGACGATACCATCTTGGTGTGTTGGTAGAAATTTTAAATGCATTTGCGCAATACCTTGGAAGGCTAGATGATCTAGTTACGCACAATGATTAGTAATATAACCTACGGTTACTCCTTCTGCAAAACCTAACAAGCTAAATTCTAGTTGAATCTGGTGAGTTAGCCATGCCCTGACTTAGATCAGCCCAGAGGTTGTTTCAAGGTTCAATCTGTGAGTTAGCCATGCCCTGACTTAGATCAGCCCAGAGGNATCTGTGAGTTAGCCATGCCCTGACTTAGATCAGCCCAGAGGTTGTTTCAGGGTTCAATCTGTGAGTGAGCCATGCTCTGACTTCGATCAGCCCAAGTTTTAGGTCATTCCAGGGTGTCGATAAAATTTGAAGCTTACAGAATCCTGTTAGAGTCAATAGTGAGTCTCTCTTTTTTCTCTTTTGTACCACTTTACTATTGTTATTAACCCTATGAGAGGCAAAGGGAGCCCCAACACGGGTTTCACATACATTACCTCTTTATAAATGGAGGTGACACTCTGTGAAGATAACAGCGGACTTTTGGCTTTCATGCGCTTAGAGTCTGCAAAAAGAAAAAAATACAGAATACGCATCAGTCGCGGTTGTATCTAGACACCCCTAGAAACAAAATTAGATACATTAAGGCTCGGTGCATTGTGGTCTAGCTTGGGTACCAACAACACCATATAAGGCACAGTGATCGAAAGATGTTAGTAACCAAGCTAGACCACAATGCACTATGTTTATTATCTTAGAAATAGCCAACCAATTTTAGTGATCACGGTAAGCTCTTTTACCGTACCTCCAACATGGCCACCATGCGGCTATCCTTCGATGGGCATGGTAACATTTAAAATACCAATAAGTAATAAACCTTTTTCGAGTTCCAAACTACCGCTGTGTTTCTTGATTACAGACTCATTTGCTCAGGCTAAGCCTCAAATCAGTGTCTAATCACTCGCAAATACCAACGGTAAGTAAAGAATGCACAAGTTCAAAAATACGAACACTTTGAGACTTGACGGACCTTGACTGGAACACGTGAATATTCTTCAGAAAATCGAGGCTTAGCCTGAGCAAATGAGTCTGTAATCAAGGAACACAGCGGTAATTTGGAAATCGAAAAGGATCTATTAATAAGTAATCGACCAACACTCACCAAGACTGACAGAACTGAGGGACAAGTACGATTTTCTGATCATCGCCTCTTGATAGTCAGGTGGAGAGCAGTACTGTGGTGCAGCCTTAAACCTCACACTATTCTTATGTATATCAACGAAAACGTTGTCTTCCAGAACAGCCTCACTTTCGTACTTGGACATGTTCGTGCGATAGTCGCTATGGTTACCGTTGTTGCTTCGTCTAGAGTCGCTCCATCGGGGTTGAGGCGTACTCAACATGTCGTCATGCTGCTTGGCATGTAGGCTTGGCATCGAGCGGCTTATTTTGTCTGATCTGAGGACAACAGACTGGTCAGCGGTAAAGAATCCGCTGGACGAGCTGCTTGGCGTGGACTGGCGCACAGCTGCTTGTCCATTTCTTTCTTCTAACGACAGGCGTGACGTCACAGGGGATGGTTCGGGTTCTGGTTCAGCCTCCATGTAACTTTCATGACTAGTCCAGTCGTTTCCATAGTAACTAGGTCGTTGATCCTCGTCACATCTATGGTTACTAAACGACATATCTGCATGGTTGCTAGCGACTTGTTCGTTTCCATAGTAATGAAAACTATCTTCATAGTAACTAAGTCTTTGATTATGATCATCATGATAACCTGTATGGTTGCTAGGGCATTCTCCGTCACTATAGCGACCAACACTATATCCTTGGTAACTCAGTCCTCGTCTATCTTCAAGTTTATCCGGTATACGATAGCTCGTAAAGTTGCTTTGGACTTGTTCATTTCTATGGTAACCAACGTCATCACCATGGGAGCTTGATCCCTGCTCATCCCCCTGCCAGTAACCTACTGGTCTCAAATCATTTCCTTGAAGGTGTTTTTTAAGTAGATTTGGTTTCCTTTCTTGAACGTCTCGTTGCGCGTCTGAAGAACTCAGAGGCGATCTACCATAAGCATGTTCGAGCTGGTTTTGTGGGTTTCTGTCATAGCTAATCTCAGTCGTCAGCCTCGGTTGGTACCAGAGAGAAGGATGTTCATCAGTTTCTTGCTCATTCTGGCTGACATTTCTGCTCCAGTAGAGTAACTCTCTTTCATGGTCGCTGTCAAACAGCGTTGGCTTTTCAAAAGAGAACTCTGTTTTCCGTGAAAAAAGAATGTCTTCTTGATCGCTCCTCGGTGACTCTCGCGTTAAGCTTTCCCTTGGTGCACCATTATCCAGGTCGCTGTTAGGACGAAGAACATCTATCTCTGATCTTTGTGAATATTTAATTCCTTCTTCATAGCTTTTGGGAGTCTCTCGCGCCAAATTGTACTCTCTTGCAGGATAAATGGCATCTCCATAATGACCACTGTTAGATCCAGGACCATCATTCGTAGGGAAGGGACTCGAAGCATCCGGTGGCTCGAATTGGTCAGAATCATTTGACTCTACCGACCGTGCCTCACGATTCTTTGAGTACACTTTCTTGGGAGAGGAATTCTTATCCACAAAGAAGAACGCTCCATACGAAAGCTTTTCTGATTCCTCCGATGCTGCACTCGTTGAGTCTAGCTTAGGAGATGCGCTTATATATCCATAATTGGCACGCACCAGTTTAGGGCCAGTATTTGTATTAACGCCTTCACGATAAGTGCGCACTGAACTTACGCTGTAGTTGCCTTGACTACGGGAATTCATATTTGAAGAATCATCTTCATTATAAGGGCGCACTGAACTAACACTGTGACTGCCTTCACTTCGGGAATTCATATTTGAAGAATCCTCTTCAAAAGGGCGCAATGAACTAACAATGCGGTTATCTTGACAACGGGAATCTATGTTTGCAGATTGATCACTTCCACCATAAGGGCGCACTGAACTGACACTTTCGTTGCCTTGGTAACGAAAATCTTTATTTTCAGAGTCATTGTGAGGTATCGAAGCTTCATACCGTTCTCTTTTTGTGTGTAGTATTTCGTTTTGGATGTCGTTGAAGTTCTCGTCTTTAGCGAGGCCTCGAGGTTGGTAATCCTGATAAGAGTGGTGCACAACATTTCTTGTTGCAATATCATTGTTGTTCATGTCCTCATACGCGGGATCGCAAAGCTCACCGAAATCGCTGCTCATCGCAGAAGAAATACTCAAGTCAGACCCTGTCAACTTATTCTTCTGCGACCAAGATATGTAATTTTTATTTTTTATCCTTGAAAAATATATCCCCGTAACATGCGCTCGCCTGAGCTGTATCGAGGTGTCTTCGTATTGAAGTGAAGTCCTAATGTTTTGCCGTACACACTGGGGCACCAACACACATATAAGCACGTCCCGTTTCCCGAGGGATATACCCATATACACCATATATTCTCTTGCGGGACTATCGTCAGTCTGTGGGATGGCAAAAACTTTCTTTAAAGTGTTGAAAATTTCTGCTCGACGCTTGGAAAATTCGTGGAAATTGTAGTTAATTTTAATCCATAGAGGGAAAAACCCGAATTCTGGAAAATAAAAAATATATATATATAAGTAGTATAGGGAATGGGGGTTCCAGCGCAATCTCAACAC